GAATTAAATCTTGGTTGATTAGGTATAACTGCTTATCTCGTCTGATGCGTATATTATGTAATTATGTAATGTAATTGTATTGTAATGTGCATTACAGTACATAGAAACTTTTAAAAGATTGAGAACATTTTTAGAACGAGTAGTAAGGAAGATCAAGGGCCGCGCCATAGCTCAAGCTGTTAGTCGCTGGCTTCCCACCGCGGCGGCCCGTATTCGATCCCGGGTCTGGTCAAGTGGGATTTATGGTGGAAAAAGTGGCGCTGGGGCGGGATTTCTCCGAGTACTTCGATTTTCCCTTTTAATCTTCATTCCACCAAATTCTCCATCATAATAATCACTCGGGGCAGGCTACAATAAGCCGATCAGTGGCCGCGTGTCTAGTGGACCCAACTGAAACCCACTATGCGAATTATAGTTAAGGAAGATCAATATAAGTATCACTACTATGTTTATCATAGGAGCTGGGATAGCTCAGTCGGTGTAGGGACCGGCTGCGGGCCGGACGGCCGAGGGGTCAGAGTTCGAGTCCCGGTAGGGTCAAGAATTTTCTCTTCTCCACGTCGTCCAGGCCGGCTATGTGGCCCACAAAACCTCCTATCCAATGGTTACTGGGGGCTCTTTCCTGGGGAGTAAAGCGGCAAGGGCGTGAGGCTGATCACTCACCTCCAACTAGTGCCGAGTTCAAGAAAATGTGAATATATACATCCACTCCACCATACAGCTTCATGGCGTAGTGCTTAATTAGTTAAGCACGGGAACAAATTTACTTTACCATAGTCATCAGGTACATATTTGAGGCGTCAGCGTCCCCACTGTCGGTCACGGAATGCCATTTATGGAAGGTGATCTCTCTCCATTGCATTCTCACCAAATTATTTTTCCACTTTTGTTGACATTTTTGCATCTGTTCAAATATTTTTCTTTTCTTTTGGAGTCAACTTTACTTTCGTGGTCTCTTCTAGTGAAACCTAGTAGTGATCTCAAAAAGCCATTTGAACTATCTCTAATGTAGGAAATAAAATACTAAAGCGTTAAAAATGTTATTCTTATAGTAGACTCATATAACCAGGGCCCGGATTTTGATGATCTGAAAATATTTAAAAAATGACCGAAAAA